TAAGTATCAGGCCCAATTCTCAGTGGGTGGAAATCAATATACCTCTGGTGAAGTCCAGGAGACAACAACACTTTGCACAAGCTGAGGGTCTGGTCTGATAGCTACATATATATTTTATCTGTCTGTATGCAGAAAAAAAAAAAAAAAAAAAAAAAGGAAAAGAGAAAAAGTTAGGAAAATCTTTTTCTTTCTCTGAAGTTGCCAACAGCCAAGCACTAACACTTGCAAACAGAAACTTTCCTTGGAAAGTTTCAACCTGAAAGAAGCTGCTGTAGTTATGGGCTGAAATTATGGTCTTTCCTACACAAGCAGAAACAAATTTTAAACTAACTATGATACTACTTTTTTTTTTTTTTTCCCTATGTCTTAATAGTTCATTAGAGTGGCTTAAGTTTTTTTGGAATGCCCGGGTGAAGCCATTCTGCTTGTTTCAGTCACCTGCTATCACCCTGCTCCTTAGGTGGATAAAGACCCTGCACCTACGTGATGCTTGGGCTGCCCAAAGTGCTGTCAGGGGTTTGCTGGAGTCGCTGCCTGGCAGCTGTGACATTCAACAGAAATTATCCAATCTGTCCATCTAGTTCTCACAACTGGGGGGAAAATTACTGTGATCTAAATGGAAAGAAGAGTAGTTAACCTTTGATTTACTTCTCAGTAGGGTGGTTTTCTGTAGCAGTTGGGAAGTTCAGCTCTCGTAGCTTTCAGTTTCCTTCCACGGCCGATTCCTCTGTGGTTTCTGGGCACTGGGATTCTCTGACATGCTTTTATTTGCTGAATATCAATACTTTCTGGCTAATGTAAAGAAAAAATTTTGAAAATGTGCAAAACGTGCCTCGGAACATAAGCCACCTTTTTAGTAGAGACCAGGACTTAACAGATAATGCCTGGATAAAAAAAAAATAATAAAAGGCAGCATACCTTTTAATGTTTGACCATTTTCACTTGTGCTCTTGTATAGGTTGAAGGAAAATAATCAAAGACAGCTTGGACAAAGAATAATGGTGTGAATTCTGTAGGATTTGTGAGTAAATTAAAATATTCTGGAGTGCAGCAACAGCAGATGTTGCTTGGAAACCTGTCCCATATGGGACAGAAACACAACCTAACCAGTGGGACCAGAAGTACCAGAATTGAAAGCATTGGCTAATCCCTTTTTGTGGACACATTGAAAAAAAACCAGTGCCACTGTTTATTGCTGCTGCTGTGTATTGTAGGGGATGATAAGGAACCGAAAAAAAAGATTTACCTGCCACCATAACTCACTCCTTTGTGTTCACACACGCTATAAAAGAATGATGTTTGAAAAGTAAATGTGCTTCCCTTCTAGTCAAGTATGTGTGTGTGTGTGTAGGGGGAAATGAAAAAAAGCATATAAAATCATTACACCTTTTAGTTTGTAGATTTCTTATCAAGCTTTTATTTAATCCAGATTTTTTACTTCATTTTGTTATAGTACTTCAGAGACCTTGATTGAAGCATCTGATTTTGATGTGTCCAGAGGTGTCATATCTAAGATATTCCCTGATTGTGCTTTCTCTGTTTCTTCATTCGTTTTTTTTTTCCAGAGTATTTTGTTTTCTTGCATGGTGGCTCCATCTGGTCTGATGTGAGAGGAAAGCACATTCTTTGAATAACTAACACGTTTATAGGTCACAATTCTTCTCCTCTTAAAATGGCTGCTGAGAAAAGACTTTTCAGTAGTAGACAAAAAAAATGACCTGCATATGGCCATCAAAGTTGTGAGGTTTTGTGTAGTGAACTTTCCCAGTGAGAGGACATTCAGGGGTGACAACAGCTGGGGCTTTCAAACAGTTATACAGTATTTACAGTTGTACAGCCCTAAAGATCTAGGGTGTTCTATGAAAACATTTCATCTACTGTGGATTGCAGTACACACATAACAAGTAGTTAGTGCATTTTCATAATTCATCTTTCAATCCAAATACTTCAAAATTTACCCTTTTTTTAATTATCAAAGTTGCATCTTATTACATGGCTTCCAGTTATAAACATTTTCTTACACTTTCATTCCCACCTTTGTGTCTAGATACAATACCAGAATGGATTGACTTGTAATAAACATATAAACCACCTTCAGATCTTTAATTTTTTTGTTTTTTATTTCTTGCAGATGTGATCCATACTGTTGGGCCGATCGCAAGAGGCCACCTCACCGACGATCATAAAGAAAACTTGGCAAGTTGCTATAAATCCTCTCTGAAACTGGCAAAAGAAAACAACATCAGATCCATTGTAAGTACTCTATACGAATGCATTATTTCTTGTAATTTGGATCTTTGTTTTCTTGCTGTAGAATAATTATAGATATAATAGTAGGCTTCCAGAAGGATTTGTTGCTGTTTTATGATGTGAAAAAGCAAGAAATTAGATATCATTTGGCCAAAATAGTTGGTAGAGGAAAAGGATAGGCTTATTTTAGGAGTTAAGGAAAGTTGGCCTGGTAGTAATGGGGTACAAACAACTCACTAAGAAAATGAGGGAGCTGTAAGATGGCTCATTCTTAGACTGTATTATTTATTAAAAAAGACCTAAGAAGCCACTGGTCAGGAGGATAGCTGCATGCAATATTGCCTCCTAAATAGCTGAGAAGTGATTATTTTGTTGCTTTTTCTGTGTGTTGTTTCTTCCTAAAGACATACGTATTGGTCAAGTGGCACTGTTTATAGCACTCCATCACCAGAATCGATCATAAAATAGCCTGTTATGTGATATTCCACTGAATAGTAAAGGTTCTGTGATTGCTTGAAGTATGTTTTTGTACCTCAAGAGGCCAGATTTTCAGAGTCAACAGAGAAAAGGAGCTGTTGCTTCTCCAGCTCTGGAGCTTTGGTTCTGCAGTGCAAACTGTTGCAGCTGAAGTCTTTAGATATCTGTAGGTTAGTTCTCTGTATATGTTTAACCAAGTTATCACCTGGGCCTGACTTCACTACTTTTGGGTCATTTTGGCTGGTTTTGTGATAGCACATATATCTGGCAACTTAAAACAATATATTAAAAGTCAGTTGGACCAATGGTGTTATATCAGTGTGAAATATTTAGTAACGGAAAGTTATTAATATTGACAAGTCACAAATGGAAAATAAAGCTTTTTGAGAAGAGGGGCAGGACAGTCGGCAGGGTTTTGAGCCCAAGTTAGATGCACACTTCAGAGCGAAACCTGATAAATATTGCTTATTTCTTTCTTCTTGGTGTAAGCTGCATTCTTCACACGTTTTCTGCTAATTAAATCCTCTCTATACTTCTCAAAATGGTGTCCAGTGACTCCTCTTTTTGCCATAATCCAACCCTGAAAGAGAGGTGATACCTAATTTATTTGTTACTTGAGTTTGGTTTTTTAATGCTAGGCACGTAAGTTAGAACTGAAAGCAACCTTGGGTTTTGGGCAATGTGTTTTGAACTCCTCTCAGGGATTGTTTAAACTGATGAGGATGTCTCTGTCCTGCTGTGATTCTCATTGGAGGCAGTAGGATCTCTGCTGGTGCTCCTACTTTCTTCCTTATTCCTGCCTTTAGGCTCTGAGCAATTACACGCTGCTTCCTGCGCATTCAGGTTAGTGAGAATAAAGTTCCTAACATGGGGTTGGGGGGGGGCGAAAGAGAAGAAAAAAAGGAAAAAAAAATGAAATAGCATAAAAAAAAAGACTATTGAAATAACAAAGGAAAACTAGTGGGCATTGGTCAATGCTGGTAATGCTTGCATCTGTAGGGATTCTGTAAATTTTAGGACATTCTAGGCGGTAACTTGGTATTTAATGTGGAATAATAAAGAGTGGTCATACTCATGGGTTTCATGAAAACTAGCCTGATGTTTTAGTAAGAAAAGATGACCAAGGGAGAAATCATCCATGGATTATTTCCTTGTTGGTTAAGAGTTGTTGACTCTGCACCTGTTTGAGATAAAAAATACTCAACACCCAGACTTGCAGAACACAGCTGCACAAGCTGAACAGGAGCCAAGAGCCATTCATTCATACCAGCATTAAGAAGCTTAGCCAGCAATATGGATTTTAAAGTCCACATGACAGATCATGGACTGTTCTGAAAAGCCCTAAGTTCAGTGATTTCAGTGATGCTTTGGGAAGTGAAGGCTACTTGAGTGTCTACCCTAACGAACAAATAAGCCTGGAGCAAAGTAAAATGTATAATTCATTCAATTAAGGAGCAGTAGATTACTGTGAGTCTGAAGAAAAGAATACAAAGCACAAGTGGGTTTCACGAGATCCAATACAGTAAACGTAGAGGGAAAGGAAAGAAACTGAATAAAAATACACTACAGACTTCTGAGGCTTGCAGAGACCTGGTAGAGAGAACAGAAGTCCTCAAATTAATTTGAGTAGGCAACATCCAAGTGTGGACTGGATTATGGCAACAGATATATTTTCAATAGGGAGAAGATAAAAAAAACCTAGGGGGGAAGGGGAGGAAGGTTACCTCTGTAAAATAATAAGGAAGCGTAAATCATCTGTGCCAGTTGACGGCATATTTTGGTGGTTCATTTGGTAAAATGAGCATGGGAAAGAGGCAAATAAAGAATTTAAAATAGGTACTGAGTACAAGCAGGAAAAGCAGTGTACTTATGACATGTAAATAAATAGGTATTGATGATGATAAGTTGTAGTACACAAAAGAATCAACTAAATCAAAAAACATTAGAGCACGAGCAGTAGTGGGAAGTGAGGAGGAAGCAAGAAGGCATGAAAGGATTGCAGGAACATGAATGTGTTGCTTATTTTCAGAATAAGACAGGACAGCAAGTGGAGGAATTAATGCAGAAAGAGGGGAAGAAACCCCACCACAACTCAAATTGTTATGGACGTGAATTGTGTCCTAGGAGCCAGAGTTGCTGGAGGCACTATGAATGAAGAGCAGTGATGAATGGCAGTGTGTGGCGCTGGGCAGAAGTGTGCGGGGTGACTCAGGGTGCGCCGCTAAACGCAGTTTAATTTAACATCTTTATTAATGATTTTTGAAGAGTACATAAACAGCTCATTAATTACATTTACAAATGATGCTACATTAGGCAGTGTTGCAAACACTAGAAAAGGACAGAGATATATGATGACAATTGATTACAGAGACTGCGAATATAACCTCATCCGGCATCCAGTACAGCACCAGAAGGGAGGGTTTTTGCCTCCACTTGAGTGGAAGAGAGGTCAGCGCCGGAGCTGACAGCTACAGCGTCACTCGGCACGGGAAGAGATGAAGTAGCATATGGTGGGGAAAAATCACCCAGTTCGCAAATAGTGGAAGGGAGAGGCGTGCTGCAAAAAGCAGAATAATGAGGAAATGGTGTTGAATAATAAACCTCAAGTTAGATCTACTTATGGCAGTCACTTGTTTTGTTTCAGTATTGCATATTGCTGAGCTGCCCATAGAGAAATGATGGATGCCATAGAGGTGGCAGTTTCTGTTCAAAATGGACCAAGGAGAACAAGAGTAAGATTTGGAATAGATCAAAACTCATCCATACGTATATGGGGATGTTTTACATACTGAGGAAGGGAAGCAATGATCTTGAAATACTGTGTAAATTGTGAGATGCAGCTTTATGGAGAGGGCAGAGAAGAATCTCATTGTGTGTATGACAAAATGGCAATTAAATGGTGCAGCTGATACTAATATGGGTTGTGTTCGTGTCCAAAGTCTCCAGGCTTGGATGAGAGCAACTCTGTGCAAACTCTTGGGGGAGCACTGAAATCTCATCTGAAAATGTTATAATCTCAGTATATAAAAAAAGGATGTGATGGGTAAAACCAGAAATGAGATGAGGGAATATAATGAAATGCCAGTCAGCCTGATTGCCAAGGTTCATAATTCACCAGCAGCCCAGCCACGGGTGAGGATTTGCATAGCCATTAAGACAGAAAGAAGAGCCTCGGGAACAAATTTGATGGTCGGCGGGATTGTTCAGAGAAACCAAACAGCCCCTGACATTTGTCTCCCGTGCCCATTTTCTCATACCTTGTATGCTCAATATGAGGTTTCAAATGCCATATCAGGTATTTCCATATAGGAGTTTGTCTCTCTTGGGTCATCTGCTCCACCTACCTTTACCAAAGTAAAGTTTGTGTTTGTTATCCGGCATTCCTGAAAACAGGCACTGCTTTTTCCTCTGCACTTGTGTATGTAGCTGTGCCACTGTGGGACACTTGAGCTGCTGTGACTATTTGTGTGGCCGCTGGCGCTGGGTGAACCTTTTGTGCTGGATGAGTCTGTTATTTACACAGTCCTCTGTCTGGTTAAGAGGATTCTTGAGACATTGTTTCTGTTTATCTCCACTTAAGTCGGTACAGATCAAGTGGAGGAAAAATATTTAATGTAATACAAAGAGTTTATTTTTGGACTAAATAGTCAGTATTTAAGCACATTAAGTTTCTTAAACATTCAGAATAATTTCCTGATAACGTAAAGAAATTGTATTTTGATGATGGTCTCTTTAACACACTTGTAGCGATTGCTACTCTGCGTCAATGAAATCTCTGCTGCCTGAAACACTGGGGAATACATTATAGGCACCAGATCTTCACTGAAAGAAGAAATGGTAAAAATATCCCACTGGATGTTTTTGCTGTTTTCCTGTATTGGTTTTCTGAATAAGAGTCTTGCGGGCCAATTAACTGTTAGGTTATCAGGCAGACTGGGGGAGTTATAATCACTGTTTTCAGGGATTAAATTGGTCCCCTGTTCACACATTGTTTGAAGTTATTTACTCTGTGTGCTCTGACTTTTTTGGAGGACCTCCTGTCCTGCTTTATTCTGCATACACTGCTTTGAAGCCATCTGATACCCTGGAACTTTTCTGAACATCAAGCACTTCCCTGCCACATACTTTGGTTGTGGTTGAAAAAAAAAATCTCAATCAATTGATGTCGGCTGAAGCCGGGATTGCAGTTAAACAAACACTTTCTGAACTACATAGAAAATAATAAAAAAAAGATGCTGTGCGTTGCTGTGGCTGGGATCCAAGTCTGAGGGGCTGTGGTGTGTTTGTAGGGAGGGAAGTTGGTGCTGATGCTTTACCCAGAAGGCAAGACAAGCTTCCTCTGCCATGGTTAGGGAAATGGAGAAGTTTTATTTGGGACTACAGCTCTGCTGTTGTTCAGGTCTGCATTCAGCCTTGCAGTTTTCGTGATGGCTTCGTGTTGGCAGGGGGTGAATTGTAAAGCTTTAACAAGGAGCATTTCTTCAGCCTGTGCTCTCTGACCTCCACCTCTAGAGAGAATTATGGCT